ATTTATTTTTTAAAGACAATCACTCCAAATTTGGTATTTAAAAAAGAAAATCCTCTCCTTTGCTTTTTTCTCTTCTTGAGAAATGATTTGAAAGCAGCTGGCCATTTTTCCTGGGAGGAAGGACAGAGGAAATACAATGTTTAATCTAACCAGGCGTGGATTGAGTGAAAGGGTAGTTTCCTAGAAAAACAAATGTGTGATAAGGATGTAGAATCATGAGAGAACACAGTGGTGTTCATGGCATGTTAATAAGGGCCTAGCTCAGATCCTTGCTTGTGTACCAGAAAAAAAAAGACCTCTAAATCTAGTTAAATCGAAAATTATTTTTTAGCAGATGGTGTCCATGGAATTAGCTAATAAAATTGAGTGTTTTACGGAAATTCTAGTCATTTAAATGAGTCTTTATTTCTTAACAGTGTTCCTTGGAGGGCTTACTATTTAAGACATTTGAAGAGGATATGTACATTTCTTTACTGTTTGTGTAAATATTTTGATTTGTACAGATTTATTTTAGTAAACATTTTAGTTCTGTTTTACTGAAGAGGAAATGTTCGGTCTTAAGCCTACTTATTTCTGATGATCACTGTTAGTGCAAAACCTTTAACCAGTTGAGCAAATTTAGTGTGAACTGCAAACTCCATTATTTTGCCCAGTAGGCAGGATGCTTCATAGAATCATTAAGGTTGTGAAAGACATCTAAGGTCATCAAGTCCAACTGTTAACCCAATACTACCATGACTGCTAACATATGCTCTGAAGTGCCATGTCTTTATGATCTGTGGTTCTCTTGATCCAAGCTCTGGAAAGAACTTTACTTTGGGAAGTGTTATAGGCTGAGGCTTTGGCAGGTGTCTGAACTAATTTGCTCAACAAGGTTATTTTGTGTTCTAGATTTAGGCACTAGAATGTGCAGAATACAAAATAAGCTTGCGATTGGCTTTGATAGGTTGTGGGGTTTTTTTCCTAAACTGAAGTATAGAAAGTGCAACTTGCAGTGAGTAGGCAGATAATGTTCTCTGTGTCTTGTACATAGGTTTCTTGGTCTATAGGTTCATTGTTCAGGAGGGAATGATGGAATGTGTGTCTGTGTTAGAATTGTAAGGCAATTTGCATTTTGGCTTATAAATCTATGGGGGGCTTGTGTCTGGTGGGGTTTTTTGGTAGCAGGGAGGCTATGGGGCTGGCTCCTTGTTAAACTTGCAGAGCCTCTCCCAGTCTAGGTAGAAGTTGGACCCACCTTTGGACAAGGCCAGGCCAATCAGCGCCTCTGCAATCAAGGTATATAAGAGAGAATACCTGTTGGGCAGCTCTTTTTGTCTTTTGTGTTGAGCTTATCATGTTCCTGTCTTCTGTGTGGAGGAGGTTTTTTTGATTTGGAGAAGAGTGAGAGGTGAGTAGAGAAACCACATGGTCATCAAGGTTGGTGAGGAGGTGGAGGGCGAAGGAGGAGGAGAAAGAGGGACAGTGGAGCAGAGTTTTTTCCTGAGGCCTGTGGTGAGATCGCAGGATGAGGCCTGGCTGACCGAGGAGATCTCAGCAGTGGTCAAACATCTAAGATGCAGCCTGTGGAGGACCCCATACCAAGCAGAGGATGATGCCAGAGGAGGGGACCACAATGGAGGAGAGGACACACCAAAAGCATGCCGTGACTCCAAGGAAAGCCTGTGCTAGAGCAGGTCCATTGCAGCCCACAAGAGGGACCCACATGTGTGGGAACCCCATCACCTGCCCCGCTGTGCTGATGGGGGAAAGACGTAGCCAGGAAAAAGGGAAGGATGAGGGGAAAGTGTGTTTAAGATCAGGTTGTATTTATTTCTCTCACAATCCTATTCTGATCTAGTTCATTTGGTTAAATTGGTCGTGGTAAGTTATATTTATATGTGTTTTCTCCCTGAGTCTACTCTGTTCTTTGCCCATGACCAGAAGTGGCGAGTGAAACCTCCCTGACCTTAATATTGATCCTCCAGCCTACTGTTGAATTTTCGCCTCTTCACCCTGAAAAGGAGGCGGGCAGGAGTGAGGAAGTGGCTGCATAGTTCTGGGTTGCCATCTGGGTGGGCTCAATCTGTGAAAAAATCCATGCAAGATGTGAACAAGAAGTGGTAATTTGTATTTTTAGCTTAATGTCTGATCTCATTTTTCAAAGGTGTTTTAAGTTAGATGTGAGAAGTGCCAAGTCCCCTGTTAATTTCAGTGCGTGTACCGTAAAGCAAGGTCCACTGAAACATGAAAAGGAAAGTTCTTAAGCCCTGTGTGACCTACAGCAAATTGCTGCTTTCTGATAAAAATATGCTTAGTATACCACTATCCTTTTCCCCTCATCATGAGGGAGCCAAATGGAAAGAATTAATTGATGTGTCTGAGAGACAGAAGAGAAAATAAAAAATCAAAGAGAATAAGCAAACTGTACTAAAAGGGGAAACCAAAAACTGTGCATGATCCTGTTGGATTCATAGTGAAAATGGAATGGTGTGTCATTTTGTAACTGTCTTGGAACAATGCTAGTACTTTCTCCCTCCTCCAATTTTTCATTAGGAGGTGTGTTTCAGAATTTTTTGTCATAGTATATGTGTGTGTGTGAAATTTGAAAAATAAACACTTGGACTTAAGTCAGATATATTTCTGTTACTGAGTAGCCCTGATTATCCAACTGTATTGCAATCACATAGGCTTGTATACAAATTGTAACACTTCAATTAATGCAGTCTAAGAGCTAAGATTTGTAATAAAACCAGTGTGGTAAAACTTTCTGAAAAAAATAAAAGACCATAATATATTCCTGTGATTAATTGAACTGCCTTGTAAAAAATGGATGTCTGGATGGCAGATTAAGTAAGCCAGTGTACTCTGAATTATAAATTGTGCATTTATGTTCTATATTTTCCAGTGCAGTCTAGAGTATGAAAGGTCATTTATAAACAACAACAAAATGTTGACTTTTTTGTCTTCCTGCAACAGGAGGAAAGCTAGTACTATTGCTTTATATGTAGGATTTTTATATGTTATTGGGGCCTGTGTATTTGTACATAGACCTATGGTGTACAGTAACTTCCCTGAAATAGTCTTAAGAAAATCGAAAGGCAATTTAGATACGTAGCTTGAGAGTCATTCAGTGAGAGAACATAAACTGATAGTGTCAGCGGGATAGTATGTCATTGGTGGCAAAGGCTGTCAGTGAAGAGAATACAAATGTTGTAGATTTGCTCTCCAGTAACCACAGAGTCCTAATCAGTACAGGCTCATGAAGGCTTTGGCACCTCTCCTTGTAACGTCTACAGTCAGGCAGACATGGGCCTCAATTCCCCAGGCCCTCATGTAGGACTAGATGTCAGGATGAAACCTGGAGTGTGATGGGCTGGCAAGAACCTAATGCACATGGGAGAAGAGGCAGCCGCTTTGCTGGTGAGACTTGTTCTGGGCAGCTGGGTCACCACAGTGCCCTTTCTCTGGTGGTGTGTGACAGTGGTACAACAGAAGTTGGACTGGTGGAGACTGGAACTGTAGACTACATTGAGAATATGACTTTTCCTGCAGCTGAAGGCTGTGAAAGCTTAGGAAGCATTTTATGGTAACAGTTAAAGCAAAGCTGCGAATGTTTTAGCTTTTAAGAGCTGTGGATTTTTACTACATAAAATTATGTAAATCTTAAAAGTGTATACATAACAATCAAGTTGAATCCCAGTATGGGAGAAAATAGAGGTGTTATATTTAAAATTGTTAGTAAGTCTTGTGGTAAAACTGCTGGGTTTCAGCTGTTGGGAAATTCACAACAGTATGAAGGGCAGGATTTGCCTCTAGGTCTATTCAATAATAAATACATAGTGATTTCCAAATGTTGAGTTTGAGATTTTATTTTTCTATAGAAGGTGATTTTTTTCAAGTACTGCTACTGAAAATGACAGAAAATAAAGCTGAAAGTTTCAGGATGTCATCTAGCCTTATCCAAATTTTCTGCTCCAGAAGTAATAAAAAAACCCAGAGCCAATGTTTTTAAAGCTTTTGGGTGATGGAGAGAGAAGAAGGGTAGGGGAAATTGATAAATCTGTGTAAAAACCTGTCCAATCATATTTTCATGTTCCCCTCCTTTTTTTGACGTGCTTTGTATGTGTATTCCTGTCAGATTTTGAGCAGCTGCACTCCTGTGTAATTTCTCTTTTTAAATTGCTCCTTCAGGGTTCTTCCCTTCTGGTCAACACTTAGATATACGTCTCATTGACATGATCTGTTACTTACTACTGCTTAACCTTACTTGGATAAACCCATTATTGAGCCTAAACCTGTTGTTTGAAGGCTATAGACAGATTATCTTTCCCAGATCCAGATGTGCACATGGAAAGCTGTATAGCTTCTAGCTATTTGTTACTATTGTCAATGTCCGGTTTGCTGCCAGTTTTGCTCATGGAGCAATTTATGCGTGCTCCTGTCTTCTAGATAAAATTGGCTGAGGTAGTGGTTTTGTTAGATGGCTTCCTCTGAAGCAAGTGCATGTGATTTCACTTGAAGTGAATTATGAGGAGCAGAAGCTTTTGGCATAGCTGCAGGCTTCTGACAGGACTATTTTTGGCATAGCTGTTCACAGAGTGAGCGTCTGCTTACTGCTTTCTTAAGCGAAAATACTATTTTATCACCTCTGGAGATTTAGTCTGAAACTGCATTTGTACTGATACAGAGAATTGAAAGCTTGGACACAGTGATAAGTTTTGAGTATTTTAGTTATGTAAGTAGCAGTAAAAATGACCCTATTGCATATTGATGTGAAAAAAAAAAAAGCTGAAACAGCTGTAGACATTACTTAAATAAGCAAAGAGGGCATGGCACACCCATGTAGCATGTGTAAAGTGGTAAGCAAATGACTTGTTTTTGTAAAGCTAGATTTTAGAAACAATTAATATAATTGCTATAAAAGATTTACTATGTTATATAAGGAAAAAAAAAGTATTTTAATTTTGTGTTTAAATTTGCAGTTTGACTAAAGAAAATAATTTTCTTTTAGGGCGTCCAAAATGGATCTCAAGTGTGCTCTGGAAGAATGTTCAATGGCACTGAATTTATTTCTGAACAATAAGTTCTCTGAAGCTCTGGAATTACTTCGACCATGGTGAGGTTCAGTTACTTGCTGAAGTTACTGTTTGCAGATAGTGTAAATTATCCTATGTGATAGCTGAAGATTAATTTAAGGCCTCTGAAAATAGTAGTTGTCATTTATTCTCTTTAGGTCAAAAATATTACTCAGTATCTTTTTAGCAGTGCACTTCTTTCTGCTTAAGAGCATGGCAAAGCTTGTTGACGAAGCACTGGATTGGTCTGTTAGAGTTCATCGTTCAAGCTGTCTATCCCTGTGTAGAGGGGAAAAGCAGGGGAGCAAGACCTTATCCAGTGTGTCTTTGATGACAGAATTTGTACAATGGAACTGTTCTGGGAAGAAAACAAAAATGGAACTCAGCATCCTCTTTTTGTTGCTTTTTATGTTACATTTGAGTCACAGTAGTGTGAATACAAAAGCCTGCCTTTTGATCTTCTGACCAATTCTGCCTGTTCCTCTGTTGCCTTTGCTCTACTAAGGAGGAAAGCATGGCAGTTGGGAACTAAAGTCTACTGAAAGGTTTGTAGGATAAACCTAGCTTACCTTTGGCTGTGTGGGGTGCAGTCTGGGTGGCTGTTCTTTAGGACTGGGATATGAATCCCATTCCCTGTCCTTCTCCTGTCTATTTCTTAAAGATGCGTATGATGTCCCTGCTCGGTCCCCATGTGTTGCCTGATCTAGCCGAGAGGTGGCGTCCCTGCCCACAACAGGGAGGTTGGACTAGATGATCTCGAAGGTCCCTTCCAGCCTAGGCCATTCTATGATTCTATGTTGAGGGATGCATCAGTGAGAGATATCTGTGACTTGTGTTAGTAAAGCAGGGTGAAGTTCTTACTCTGCAGTTTAGTGATAGTAAGACTGGGTTAAGAATCATGGGGTGGTATTACTAGATCAGTAGTATGGACAAGTGAAAGAACACTGTTAAATGAAACCTTTGCAGGATGACACAGCTGTCGTGTTTTGGTTTTAATGGCATGGAGAACTCAAGTGTAGAGGAGACAGGCAGGAATAACACCTTTTCAAATTAGCTGTTTTCACACCGAAGCTCTCTTCTCTGAGTGTTGTACAGTGTTATTTGTGATACGGCAATGCTTTGACAAGGCCCACCTGCACTTGTGTATGCAAAAAACATTTTCTGCGTAATATTGCAAAGTACTAAGTTCTGCAAAGATTGTGCATGTGTCTATTACTGAATACACACATGTAATACCCAAACGTTTCTTGTATGTTTCGTATATATATATTTAATCTTGTATTGTAAAACAAAACAAAAAGTGTTTCATACAATAGTGCCTTTATGTACAGCGAAGTATTTGCTTTAGTTGATGTTTGCTGTGAAATTTAAAAAAAAATATTCTAAGCTCCATGGTTTTGATGCTTTGAGTCCATAGCACCTAGCAGACTTTGAGCTCAAGCAGGACAATAGCCTGTATCTGCAAAAGATGACTTAGTGTAGCAAGGAAACAAAAAGCCACCTTTAAAAAAGAAAATCCCAATTATTTTACAGAAAAACAGACTTTTAATGAAAGTTAAACTTAAGTCCTTCAATAACGAAAAAATTTTAGGGAAAGTTTTGATATATTTAAGAAATAGGCACTATTTCCTTGACTCTGCCCAAGTTTTCTGTCTTCAAAACTGTGTTTGGTGGGTAGGCCCTTGATTTAGCAGGAGGAAAAAATGTTGAGGAAACTGGAGAGCATCCAGCAGAGAGTTAGCAGCATGGCTAGAAGACTAGAACTTCTGACTCATTAAGATTGCGAGAAGTGGGTTTGTTTTGGTTTGGCAAAAAGGGGACTTGGGCATTAATTTAACAGCGGTCCAGAGCTGTTGAGGGGAAGTTGCAAAGACAAACATCCTACTGTGTAGTGGTAGATGGTAAAACAAGAGGCAGTCACCACAAGTTGAGGCCTAAGAGGTTCAAACTGGACATTAGAAAAGAATATATTGGTAGTACAGTACTGGAGAGGCTGCCAAAGGGGTTATCATAGAATCATAGAATGATTTGGGTTGGAAGGGGCCTCAAAGATCGTCTAGTTCCACCTCCCTGCCGTGGCAGGAACATCTCCCACTAGATCAGGTTGCTCAAGGCTCCATCCAACCTAGCCTTGAACACTTCCGGGAATGGAGCATCCACAACTTCCCAGGGTAACCTGTTCCAGTGCCTCACCACCCTCAGAGTAAAGACCTTGTAGGTTTCATTTTGAATCTCTTGAAATTTGGTTAGGCAAAACCTGAATTTGACTGACATAGAGTTGGCAATAATGCTGCTGCAACTGGTAGGTTTAAATAATTTTTTTTTTCTTTGTGTCGTCATATGATGAAAGCTGAGCTGGTTCAGTGTAGCCTTTTATGCAGGACTAAGCATATGTGTTCTGACACTTGTATGACACAAATGCAGATATTTGTGTCTTTGAATCACATAGTAATATTTGGAGGACGTCCTTGCTTCTTAGGATAAGTGAAAGTAGATGAATGAGTATTTATGTCAAGACTTAATTAGCTAAATTAAATAGCTGTACTTGTGGACTATAAATGGGATATAATTAAGTGCAAATGTTTGTGCAACTCAGTTTGGGTATTTTCTGGAACTTACTACAACAGTTCCCTTTGGAGACAGACATGTAGAACCTAGTGGAAGAGATACGTGCTGGGTTATGTTCCTGTGTCCATTACTTTACGGCCTTATCATTCTGTCTTTTCACAAATCAACGCAACTGTGTCAGCATTTAATTTTGTATTGCAATTTGAAATTCTGCTCAGTGTATCATAATTTGTTGCATAATACTTATATGTTTGCTCTAGGTCTAAAGATAGTATGTACCATGCGCTTGGGTACAGCACTATTTTAGTTATGCAAGCTGCTATGACCTTTGAACAGCAGGATATACAAATGGGAATTTCTACAATGAAGGAGGCTTTGCAAACCTGCCAAAGGTGAGTCCGAGCAGTGAACATTTATGAGGTACTTCATTCACCAAGTGTTCTTCGTAAGGTATCCCAGCTGTCTCTATGATATCAAAGCAGGCTATTGTCAGTAAGGTGATGATGTAAATGTGAAAAGTTGGAGTAAGTCTCACTATCCAATTGTTATTGGTAAAGATATGTTCCCCAGTATTGCAGGAACAACAGATTTGTGAAATCTGGGCCTGTATAGCCTCTACAGTTACTTAAATGGCTGGCTGGCTTTGTGGACCTAGATGTAAGCTAATACTATGTGGTTGAACTGTCTGAGTTGTTTAAACCTGTGACTTTTTGTTCTTGTTGGGGATCAATAATTTAAAAGCTCCATATTTTGAATTTTTCTTTTCATCATGGAAACACTTTTTTTAAAAAAGTTGTTTTCAAAGGTGAACCAGATAGTCTAATAGGGTTAAAGGTATACTGAGGTTTCTTCTAAAACCAAAACGATTTCTTTTGTTATTGTTACAAATGTAAGTACTTATCTTACCTTAAAACTTAAAGACTTTTATTCCTGTCAAGAATGATCTGAACTTTTTGCTTCTGGTGCTGCTTGGAACAGCAATGAAATAGAGTAGAAGATAAAAGTTATTAGTGACCTTAATATCTTAATTAAAAATAAAGTTAGAAAATGAGTTGTCAAAGCTAAAGTATTTAACAAGCCTCTGACAAAAACAGAAATGACTCCTTTATTCTGCTGTACTGCTGGTTCATCATATTAGTTGGATCATAATTTATCATTAATGGTCTCCCAAGAAATTATCTCCAAATGTTCTTGGTTTAGATATTTATCATTACCTCTGCAACACTAACAAGCACAAGAAAAGGAAACTGGACAAAATTACCAGATACCACTTGAAGAAAATAAAGGGTCAGCAGTTTCTGCTTCTTTTTCAGATATGCTATTGATTCACAGTTCATCTGAACTATGTATTATTTATTATGTCTGAAAATTAGGTGCTTCTTTGAAATTCAAGTAGTTTCAATAAGGGCCTCTGATTCTGCAGGATAGAAAGCTTATACATAAGTGGTCTTGTCTGGTCTGTCAAGCGCTCCAAGTTGAAGAAGTGCCAAAACTACATGTACCTTAACTGGCTATTTTTTTGGTATGCATTAAGTTAACATGTATTGTCATAATCTCATTGTCAAGATATGGCATTATTCAATATGCAGAACAGTGTAAACAGTAAGCTAATGGTTGTTATTTATAAGTAATGAAAATCAATTACTTCCTGGCTTAAAAAGTACATTCCTTTTCTGAATGTAGAATTGTTTCTTTAGCTTCTTCGTAAAGCTGAGTTGTTTGTAAATAGTAACAAATGCAGTTTGGGAACTCTGTACTAAAATAAACTACCAATTTAAAACATGGACAGTTGAGATCTATTGAAAGTAAAATACGTGACTGTTTTTCCATTGTTATCTGGCATAAATGCCATAAAATCTGAAGTAGTTATGTTACATTTATGTTGAAAACAGAACTTTTTTTCATTTTTTTTCATTCTAATTCTGAGTGCAGGTTTAAGAAAATGGAAAAAAAATACTTCATGAAACTTTGAAGTCCAGTTCAGGTGTGGCTTGCCTAGCATCAGAGAGACCTCTGCAGCCAGTGGGTGAAAGTGGGGTGGAAGCTTTTGTACATTTCTACTGGATTAAACACCTTGGAACATCAGTTAAGGTTGTGTCGGCTTCTGAGCCTAGATACGTCCTGGTGGCCATGATGGAACTACTCAAAGAATTGCAGCTATTAGCAAACCATCAGTGTACTAAGAAGACCTATAAATTGTCGTTAGAAATGTTTAAGAATTATAAATAGTTAAGTTCAAGTTAGTGTTGAAATGTCACTCATGCCGTGTGGATTTCTCTTCTATGTACAACTGATTTAGATTTAGAAAAAGAAGCACAGTGGTGGAATCCTTGTCCAATCTAGTTTCTAAACAATCAGTGGATCAGTTAAGTGAAGGTAAGTGGTTTATAATATAATTAACAAAGTGAAAAAAGCTCAGAAACACCTTACTAATGTGTTCAAGTATGCTTAACTCTATAACTTGACTAGTGTATTTGTATTGGGTTTGCCTGTCCGGATTTTGGTGGCAGGATGGGCTGTAGGGGTGGTTTCTGCAAGAAGCTGCTAGAAGCTTCCCTCGAGTCTGATAGAACCAATGCCATCTGGCTCCAAAGAGGGATCTGCCGCTGGCCGGTACTGAGCCTGTCAGTAAAATGACAGGAGAGGAATGTCTCTGTGAAAACATATTTAAGAAACCGGGAAAAAGAACTGCGCCACACAACAGCTGGTAGAGAGACAGAGGAGTGAGAATATGTGAAGACACCAAGGTGAAGAAGGAGGGAGTGAGGATGTGCTCCAGGCACCAGAGCAAAGGGTCCCTCGGGCTGTGATGAAGACCATGGTGAGGCAGGCTATCCCCCTGCAAGCCCACGGAGGTGATGGGGTGTAGATGTCCACCTGTGGCCTGTGGGGGACCCCACACCGGAGCGGGTGGATGCCTGAAGGGACCTGTGGCTGCCAGAACCTGTAGCCCGTGAAAGAGTGAATGCCCACGCTGGAGCAGGTTGGCTGGTGGGACTTTGGTGATGCCGCGGGGGGACTCACGCTGGAGCAGTTTCCTCTGAAGGACTGCACCTCAGACTCACAAGGGGTGGGTTGCCCCTCGTGAGGTGACTCACACTGGGCAGTTTGTGACAAATTGCCCTTCATGAGAGCACTCACGCTGGAGAAGTGTGGATGAAGAGTGTCTCCCATGAAAGGGACCCCGCAGTGGCCCTAGGGAAGTGTAAAGAGTCTTCCTCCAGAGGAAGAAGGAAGAGTAGAACCAACATTGGATGAGCTGACCCTAACCACCATTCCCTGTGCCCCTACAATGCTCCGTGGGAGGAGTTGGATAAACTGGGACTGATGTTGAGCCTAGGAAGAAGGAAGGGACTGGGGGCAGATGTTTTAGGATCTGTTTTTTTCTTATTTCTCACTACTCTTCTCTGATTTGTCCTTTTAATAAATTTAAGTAATTTCTCCCAAAATTGAGTCTGAAGCAGCTCTGTGGGCACCTGGCTGCTGGCGAGAGTCAAACCACAACAGTATTACAGTAAAAACCAAACAAACCACCTGTATGTTGGGGATTTTAATTTGAATGCAACTCTTCTCAAAATGAGGATTCAGCCTATTTTTTTCCTTTGGCTCTGAGCATGCATGAGTTAAGAAAGGAGTATCCTTAACAACACAAGGTTTTAAGAGTCATTGATGCTATGGAATACATAGTTATCATTAGTTACATTGGAATCTGAATGTATTAACAAGTTTTGTGCTTGTCTGTTTTGCCTTAAGGTGTTTTGGGAAATGGTATCAGTACATTGTTCATGGCTCTGAAAATGCTGATCTCCTAGTTCTGATTTGGGCTGAGTCAAGTATGCATTTTTTTCTAACCTGACACAAAAGAATCCTTTTAATACTGGACACCTCAAACTCACCATGTGTGCACTATAAATACAGCAGCCTTGTGCATGTGGCTGTTCTTGCAGCATGGGTGCAGAGCAACTTGTGTCATGTGTTACGTCAAATGTACTTTAGTGCTGCATGAGGACAGAAAGTCTGCCTGGGTTGTTTTTGGTTTGGTGAGCATGCCTCGTTGAAAAGCTGTTCATAATGTCGTATTGGACTTAGGAAAACCCTGAGTCACAGTGAGTGTTGCCGTTCGTCCATAAAGTTTTCTTTGTGACATGGAAGGAGGGTTGGAAGACTTAGTTGCTGTAGGCTGATAATTAAACTTAGGATCAGTGGAAGGTATAGATCATCCTCCAGAATGACAAGTAGGTTTTGCCCTAGGCTGAAGTCAGCTCTTGGAAGATCAAAGTTTTTTGTCTGAGAATTGAAATAGAAGACTTCGGATTTGTGTGTTGCAGCTATTATTCAGCAGTTACCAAAACAGCAACAGCAGAATCTTGCCTTTTTTTTTTCTTTTCTTGGCAGCATTTTATTTGTACCATTGACCTCAAGAAGAGAGTATTGACAGTAACTGTGCTGACAGTAAATAACTTTTCTTTCTTATCTAGAGGAAATGCATGCTGAAATCTGCTATGCTGAATGCTTACTACAGAAAGCAGCTCTGACCTTTGTACAGGTGAAGTCAATTGTTTGTTCTATATCTCCGTGTAGCTGTTTAATGGAAAAGTGTTAGTACTTGTAAAACATGGTTCCCACAAGAGATACGGTTTTTAAAAACAAAACATATTCCTAGTGAATGAATGTTATATAATGGCAGTCACTAAAAGGTACGGTAAATGCTGTGCTACTCAGAAAAATCCTCTCTTTGTTTCTGTGAATAACCAGAGGTGTTATTGATACCTAGAAACCAAAAACCTAAGGTATATTGCAGTCTTGTACAGGTGGTACGTTTAAATGACTTGTATTGCATCTAACAGTGTCCAGCACTTGTTTAAAAAACCAGTTCAAGCATGAGGAAATGTTTTGTTTCAAGGTGCCAGTCTTATTTTGCACAAAAAGGATAGAATGTTTCCCAAGTAATGAAATTTCAGCTGATGTGCACTTGTCTCCAAATTCAGTATGCATTTTTGACGTGGTGTCAGGAGCAATGTAGTAATGAATGTTTATAAAATGAGCACGCCTTAGCATTGCTGAGGTAATAATTCAGTTCACAGAAAGATCTGCCGTTTAATGCTATGTGGCATTTCATATTTAGCTTGTGGTTCAGGGACTTTGTGCTACAGTGTTTTCAGACTTCGATTTAAAATCTTCTTCCTGCAAACAGGATTTGCTAGTTGTTAGCCATATGTTTTTCCATATGTGAGCGTTTTACAAATGTTTAATGACTAAATTTTAGATAATCCCTTCAGATATTAATTATGATGAAGAAGCAAGGCACAACGATTCTAAGATCCGATGGACCTAAAAACTTATTTTGGCCAACCTTGATAAACCACTTAACACAGTGGTTAGCTGGAATTGTCAGGAAGTATTAATGAAATGCCAGCCTTCCCTATAACTGACTTTCTCCTTTACTAACCAACTGGCAGCAAACTTCTTTTTGTTTTGTGGCGCTTTTTTTTAAGCATGAAGAGAGTTTTTAAACAGCAGGTGATTTTAGGACTGTATAAAATGAAAAAAAACAGGATTATACTGTTCATCATGTCAGAGAACTGTTGCAGTTGACTTTGGCATCCAACTTTGCTGACTGCTGTCATGCCCCATATTTTTCATCCTTGACTGACCTTGATTCTTCTGAGGATCATAATGAAAATGTAACCATTCAGAAGGAGGTAGCAAGAATGCTTGCACGGAAGCACTTCTGTTTGGGTCATCAGTCTTGCAGACAAAACAATTTTTTTTTTAATAACCCTTTTAAGGAAGCCAGAATTCCCTTTGGTTGATGATTCCAAGGTGGTTTTTTGTGCTTTTTCGTTTTCCATGTTGTATATGCTGTCCCCAAGTATTTAAATGTGCATTTTTGAAATGCCTGCACGTTGGGCAGTACATGTAGTTACTGCTGATCGGCAGTGAGAATTCATCTGTTCAGGGCCTTCGTTCTTTGGTTTGTCTTCTGGCAGGTTCTGTGCTTGCTTGTGTGTTCAGAATCAGGATTTCAAAGGTTTCTGAAAAGTTCCTACAGCACCATCTGGTGGAGAGCTTTCTAGTTTCATTAATACGCATTGGAAATCCTGTTAAACGCTGCTCTTAAAATATGTGACATATACCAGGGAAATATTTCCCTGACAACTTAAAGCACCTGTTAATTTCAGTCTCAGTGATGAGTCTAATATCTTTCAATATTTCTGATGACTGTTAAGTTATAAGTAAATGTAGCTGGAAGATGTTATGTATGTGTTATACATAATAGCAGAATGCACATTTTTGTACAGTTATTTTTTTTTTCTTCCAGGATGAAAATATGATCAACTTTATCAAAGGTGGCCTCAAAATTAGGACGAGTTACCAAATATACAAGTAAGGCATTAGAAAACACTCAGATGCGACATTGCTATAAGCAGGTGCAGTTACATTAATGCTTCTGAAATATCAGGAAATATTTCTATAGTAATATTTAATAATAATGATAAAAAATATAAAATAATATAATAATATTTCTGTAGTAAAAATAGAAATTATATGAAGTACAGTCATTAAGCTGTGTTTTCCCTTCCCTCCTCTTTTTTTTCATGTGTCAAAAGAGAATGCTATCAGGTGCTACAGATGAGTCAGGGGAACAAAAGCAAAAATGAAACTTACTACCAGTTTGAAGGAGGAGTAAAACTTGGAATTGGAGCATTCAACTTGGTATGACTTTTTCAGACTACAGAAGAGCCATTGAGATAATTCTGTAGGATTCTTTGTTTGCAGATACAGTACTGTAATCCTGTTTTAAAAATTACACATTTGTAAAATGGAGCTACAAGCTTTGAAGGTTTTAAACAATATGAAAACTGCAGTGAGTTTTTGCATGAGTGCCTTCTTAGGATCTTTCTTGATGTGCTTAATTCTCTTGGACTAATTTATGTATGTATTTCTTAAGAGGAAAAGCAGCTACATCTACCTTTATGTACCAGAAATTTTTAAGATGCTTATGCATCTTATGCATCCTTGTACCCAGAGTGACTGTATTTATTTTAACACCCTCGTATACACTATTCTTTTGATTTAGCAGCATACTGTAGACAAATTCAGAAGACTCAGCAGTAGTTTACTAAGTTTGTGCAAAAGAAAACTAGGTACATCCACTAGCACTTTACATTTACTAGTTTCCTTTTCACATCCATTGTGTCAACGGTGAAAGTTGATTTCTGTTAGTATGTTAATTTCTGTATCATTCCCGACCACAGCTGGCCAGTTCTGACTCTGCTCGGAACTCAGGTCTATGTGCACCTGCCAGTATTTAAAACCCAAGCAACTGGTGAATGTCTGTGTCCACAAGTGCTCTGACTTTTCCTATTCTTCGTGAAGTGCCCCCAGTACAAAGCTTAACAGAAAAATTCTCTGCTGGGCAGAATGTTTTGGGGTGAATCGAGCTTTCAAAAACTGACCTTCAAAACTAACCTTCTTGTATGCACGTTGAAAAGGTCGTTGTGATCTTAGCAAGATTTCTGTCATGTGGAGTGTGGAGAGTGCAGCTGCAAGGGGAACAAAAAAATGCATGTAATGGAGGGCTAAAGGATGGTAGCAATGGTATTTCTAAACCAAGTATGCTTGCTGGTCTGCTCATTCAATGGTCCTGCAGCAGGAACAAGTAGAACTTTTGTGACAGCGTTGTGTCATTTGATTGGGAGTAAAGGAAAATGACTACTGTAGATTGTAAACACTACCGAAATAGATAATAATTTCATTCCAAATGACCCACAATTTTTCAAACAATTGTGATCAGCTGAAGTCAGAAAAATGTGTCATTATCTGAAAAAGCAGAGCTGGACTCTCTTGCTGTTTCCATGCTGATGATCATCAAAAGTCTTGAGTTTCTCTGAAGGTACAGACTGATAGTATTGTTGATCATGCATGTCTGTTTTTGAGTTCTTTTGTGGTTTACTTTTTCACTGATGTGTAGTGGCATTTAACGTTAATAGCTGGCATTTCTGACTGAAGTTTATCGTGCATTTACCTTTCTTTTTAAATATGTATTCAAGTTCTTATATATATTATTTTCCTTTGAAATGTGTTTCAGATGCTGTCACTTTTACCAGGAAGAATCCTCCGACTTTTAGAATTTATTGGATTTTCTGGAAATAGGGTATTGGATCTGATACTTGTTTTTTCAAATTAGTCTGTTCGTGTATAAAGGCTGAATGCTTTTAATGTCGTATATTTCACACTAAAAGTATAACGATTTGTATTGTTTGTCGGTATTTTGGTGTTGTTAAAAAGATGAGAAGTGGGCTAGATGATGCAGGCATAAAAGCACATATGGTGATATCTTTGTCTTGAACAGCTATGTGAAATGACTAGTCCACTTTAGAGTGAGTTTCAAATTGCAATTTCATTTCCTTTTGCTGATCCTTGAGAAGAGGATATCAGCTTTCTTTTCTAGCCTATGCAGTCAGAAATTAAAGTTCCTCATACCTGTAACTGAGAGGAGAGTCACGGTTCTTTATTTTTTCCCCCACAATCTCAGCCCCGTTTCTTTGGGACAGTGGACTTGTGAATATCACGTGTCACTGTGGAATCTCTGTGCATCTTTTTGTCATTACATGAGTAATGTATTTTTGATAATAGCCTTGTTTTTGTAAAGCTTGCCTTGTTTTATAAGCATTTAAAACTCTTTTAGCACCCATGTGAACCTCAGCACCAAAAGCAGTACCAAAGCAACCCACAGAACTATACGCGACTAAACTTCAAGTTATTAATGAGACAAAGAGTCACCATATGGTCCTACTGCTGCTAGTTTGCCCAGAAATATCAATCTGTTTATGTAAAACTAGACTTCAGTAGAGACATGTTCATTCTGTTTCATCCTGTGAAAGACCTGGTACGTGCTGAAGGTCTTCTGTAAAATACTAATTTTTGCCCTGATGACAGTAAAAGCTGAAAGGAAAAGAATAAACAATTTTGACATATCACCCCATTTTTTTAGTATAGTTCCTGACTTCTGTAACTCATCAAGATATTATGCTATAAATGCCTTATTAAGTTAGTATTTGTTTTGAGGCAAAGCTACTAAAATCTGACATAGAATCATAGAATGGCCTAAGCTGGAAGGGACCTTAGAGATCATTTTAATCCAGCCTCCCTGCCGCCAGGGACGCCACCTCTCGACTAGATCAGGCAACACATGGGGACCGAACGGGAATCAAACCCGCGACCTTAGCGTTGTTAGCGCTATGCTCTACTGACTGAGCTAACTGGCCCCCTACTGAGCTAACCGGCCCCCTGTTTCTGACATGTTTCTGAAGACCACGGCTCTTGAGTAGAGAACCTCTGAACCCATCTCAATAATCCCCCAAGCATTCAAGGGCCATATAATGGGCATAAACTGGAAAGGATGGGAAGAAGTTTCATGTATTAAGACCTGAAAGATTCTCCATGAATCCAGATTCCTTTCCACAGTGCCTCACAAGTTTCATTGTAGCTTCTGGAAAAGATATCCAGAAGTTGGTGTGTCAGCAGAATTAATATTTTGATCAGAATGTCAGAATAGTGGCTGAAGAGAATTGAGGATAACCGAGGATTTCTGTGAAGGAATAGTCTTGCTGACAGGTAGCATTGTAACAGTTGAGAGAGCTTCTCAGCCAACATAGATTTAAAGATGTTATTCTGAAAGTCTCATAGCCAGAAAACAGTGGGGAAGCGATACAGACCTGTGTGTCTGCGTGGTCTGTGTGGTGTTCCCATTTCACCAGAGCACTGAAGTGCATCAGTACTTTTACTCAGTGCTAGCTTGATCTTCTCCTCGCAGAGTGCTGTCTGCTGTGTCAGAACTGCTTTGGGAGAAGGTTCTGCTAGATCTGAGATAGCAAAGTGCTGAATTCTAGAATGCTTGTATCTGAATGGAAAACTGGATTTGGGGGAGTCAGAAACTATTAATAGTAACTCTGTATACTGATAGTTAATTCTGCATGTGTTTGTGATGTTTCTTAGGAGTTGGGCCTCTGTCAACTACGGGAAGGCGCATCTGGCAGCAGTTTGAGGGCCATTCTGTGTACTTTCACCCTGTTGGTTTATCATACTTACATCTCCTTAATCCTTGGTGAGACCCACTGTGTAGCTGTTCAGTCACGCTACACACTATGACAGATATTGTGATTTTTTTTTTTTGTGAATTTTGAAACTGTGACCAATTAGCTTTGCAGCAGGAGATTGCTGTATACTTAATTATGATCCAAAATCAATATCTCTGAATGACAAAGCTATATCTGCGAAAACAGTGAGAGTAGATACCATTATACAAACATCTCCCATTTGCAGGGCTGTCCCAACATGCAGCAGCAAAATATCACAGAACACTTTTTAATTTCAGGCATGACCTTATCCATAAATTAACATCAGGTATTGTGAAAAACTATCTGCAGAAAGAAGTCTGTACTCTCAGACAATTCAGCTGGAAGCTCAAACATGTAGAGAATGAATTGCTTTTGCCATACGGGGCTAAAAGTGACCATTAAGTCTGTATGCATCTTTGACATGTTCTTTAATTTGCAAGTACTTTAGTCCTTGTCCTTCAGGCTCATCAGGAAATTAAGGAGAACTTCATTTCTTTCTGAATCATCTGTACTTCATTATTGAGCTCAAAATTAGGAAAGGAGACAGCTGAGGAATGTTTTCCTAACTTGCTAAAGCAATTAAAGTGATTAACAATTAAAACTAGGATCTAAAATGGAATAGTTTAAAGAATATTCATATATTCTATTCTGTTTCTACTTCCATACATTTGCTATCATGAAAACACTTAGTACCTGCAAGACTAAAATTATTCTTTATAGAAACACAATATGATGAAATAATTCTGCTTTTACATAAAATCAGTTATCCATTAGTCTGTTCATGCCATAATGTGATTTGGGAACCAAAATCTTAATCTGGGAAGTTTGGTTTTTTTAAGTACATTGAGCTTCGTTTTTTATGTTTTTTAGGTACGGGGGAAGCCAACCTTCAGGAAGCCGACAGTCTCCTTGAACCTTACCTCCAGAAATTCCCAAATGTGTGTATTATCAATAAATTTTGTAACACCAATCTACTTCACTAATCTTGAAAAGTAACTGGGTATTTTTCTCATCTTCTTTCAAGGGTTCCATAATTCTATTTTATGCTGCCAGAATAGATACACTGAAAGGAAATTTTGAACAGGTAAATTATTATTTTTCTGTCTAAGCTTTTTATTTGTTCAGTGTTCAACTTGGGGAAGAAATATCTAATTCATGGAGGTAACTTATTTAATTGGACTGATAATTGTACTTTTACGCCTGTTCATGTTCAGTGTTAATATTGATTCCAGCTCTTTCTCTGAGAAACTGTCAGGTGTTCTCCGCTTGGGTGCTGGGAAAGAACTTGCTCTGTAATTAGACGTGGCTCTCGTGTGTAGCTCTAAGTGAGCCAATTTTCATCATTCTTACTTAACTACATCATAGGCACAGCTGAGGTTCCAAGAATGCATAGCAGCCCAGCAAGAATGGAAACAAATTCATCATCTCTGCTACTGGGAGCTGATGTGGTGCTTCACCTTCCAGCAGAACTGGCTTCAAGCATATCGGTATGCAGACCTGCTCAGCAAAGAGAGCAGGTGGTCTAAGGTAAATGGGCAGGTGGACATTGTTACAATATTCCAGTAGCCTCTCCACAGTTAAATTTGCATTTCAATTTACACAATAAGTGTTATTTTTGCTTTCTTCTGAAAGCGGTAATCAAAGCACCCAAATGATAGGTTCAACTGGGTGGTTAAGAAGGAATTTTTATTTTACTTACTGAAGCACTGGAGCCATAACTTAGCCATGCTTCAGGCCTTCTGAAAACAGAGGTAATTGCTAGAGTTGTGGAAAAGGAAATGGAGAGGAAAACTGTTAACTTACACTCAAGTTCTAGCAGTCATTAATAAAATTTGGCTGAAAATGCTGTTTTGTTAGGCGTTTATAAACAGATGAGAGCATGCCTGATCAGCAGATGCTTTGTGACATGAACTGAGAAGGCTCCTGGAGACAGGGTCTCACTAGAAAAGTTAGAGTAGCTACCCTTTCATTATAAAAACATTTTTCAAAGTACAAACCAAGCACAACATGCAAGTAATTTTTCATACATCATTTTTGTCTGTTCCTTTCCAGATTACTGTTTTATTATGCTTAATGTAAGAGGGGATACATGCAATTCTTGACAAAAGAGGAGGAGAATAGAATATTCAGCGTGAAGTGTAAATGTCTTGAATATAATTATCGATGTTTCTTTTTACCTCTGCAAAGCCCAGTTACTGAACTTTCCTTGAATCACTACTGAGATATTCTTTTTCTACTTTTTTGAGGCACTTCTCTACATGTAGGAGATAGTAACACTAACAGACTTCAGAATAATTATGTCTTTAACCTCATTTCTTTATCAGTGATTTGTATAATAAATGATCCTGTTCTTTGCAGGAGACACCTTCAACATTCTGACTAACCTATTTAGAATATAAATAAATAAAAATAAAAATCGTAGCATAAATTATGTGGCAAAGGAAATGCTAAACTTCTATAGTTCCACCTGCCTGAGAACTACTGAAAGCACTTTGCTGCAGCATGTGGGGTGAGAGGTTTGAATACTCACCATATTGACTGAACACAGCAAATTAGATGTGGTAATATCTTACTATTTCTTTTTGAAATAGGCAATATATGTATTCCAGAAGGCATCAATTCTCTGTATGCTTCCAGAGGATGATTTGAAAAAGACTGGTGAAGACATTGTATCTTTATTCAGGTAAATATTTATAAAGCAACTACATGTTCAGTCTTTTATACTCCATATAAAAGTTTTTAATTGAGTATCTTTTTCTTGTGTGACTTACTTCCTGCTTATAACCGTCATCTTTTCCATTTTTCTCCTTGCTTTTAGCATCAAAATGTTTAAAGTGCTGCTTTCATCAGCAAACATATGCTCGACAACTGTGTTTTAAGTGCTGTGAAACAATTTAAGCTATTTCAGAGGCAAACAGCGTATCTTACTAAATGAAATAAAAATTATATAAAGTAACTTCTGTTTTCCGTTTTCCCTCCTTGTAGACAAGTGGATAGTCTAAAACAGAGAATTGCAGGAAAATCTATCCCAACTGAGAAGTTTGCAGTGAGGAAAGCTCGACGCTATGCAAGTTCTCAACCAGTGAAGCTGATATTACCTGTCTTGGTAGTTATGCTTGCTTCCTTTTTGTCCTTTTCAGATGGAAAAGAAATAAGTAGTTCATTATACAGAGAAAGAGTAGTATTGTCAGGTAGTTTGTGTCCACGTAATTATTTAATTCATATAGTGGTTTTTTTGTGAAATGTACTAGAGGCTGAATCATGCTGCCGACTATTTTCAGTCCAAAGCAGAAGCCAGATTTTTGTATCAAAGTTCAGACATACAGAGAGTAATTGCTCTTGCCGCATGAGGCTGAAAACCTAAATCTTTTAGCTAGAAGCCTGTGTGGTTTTTGCTTCGTCTGAAAACCCATGCAGTTACAGCAGAAATATAAGCAGAAATATTTCAATAATGTATTGTATCAGCTTCAGAATGATACCAGGCTTTGTGTTTCAGAGGTGTAATTGCAATTCAAATACAGTAGAACAAATTATGCTCTTGTGTTTCTGATGATGGAGTAAAGTTTTATATCATAGAATCATAGAATGTCCCAGGCTGGAAGGGACCTTAGAGATCATTTAATCCAGCCTCCCTGTCATGGGCAGGGACGCCTCTCGACTAGATCAGGCAACACATGGGGACCGCACAGCGGTTAGTTAACATTAACTCTGTACAACACTCTCATTCGTTGTTACATAATTAAATGTTACTTTAATGAAATGATTATTAAGGCAAGTGTGATTGTCTTTGTAAAGCTGCATATAACTGACAGGATATCCTGTACCCAGTTGTGGGTGATTATTTGAAGTTGTGCAGATACTTTTATTCACGGGCTTCTCAACAGTGAGTGTTTTGGCTTTGACAATGTTCGCATTTTTTAAAATGTGCTTTTGTAGGCATATTTTTATGTACTTAAAATGTTCCATAACAGCCTTCCAAAGGACACTGTTACATATTTATGCAATTCCATGAGTTTATCTTGAGTTTTGTTTTTTGGGGATTTTTATTTTTTTTTTGTTAGGAAATGATGTATGTCTGGAATGGCTTTGCAGTTGTGGGAAAAAGAGCAGACATCACTGAAAACTTACTGGTAACAATTGAAAAAGAAGAAACTGCTCTACAGAATGAAACTAGTAAGTGATCAGTTACGATCGAATTAATAAGCTAGTAAGAAATGCTGACATGTACTTCTTTCTGCTAATGTTCTGTGAGGTAAGTGTTGACTTGGGCAACATGTTACTAAATCTGAGTATGGAGATTTTTTGAGCTGTGTGAAAGTGTTCAAAATGTTCTTTATGTGGCTTGACTGATGCTGCAGAATACATAAAAATCAAGCATGTGAGGTTATTAGTTACAGAACGTAACTGATTCTTAACAACACATTCTAGTCTCAGAGCATTCTGGGAGTGTAATCTGCTAGTTCTTAAATGTCTGAAAAGTGCTTTTTCTAAACCAATTTCCATCACGCTTTACTACAGGAAATAATGAAGTACTATGGTTTTGTACTTCTGGCAAAATAAAACATGTTTGCTAGTTGTAAAATATTATATTTTTAACAAATGAACTCTTACCATCGTTTTAGATCTTGATGTGTTTGAAGTGTAGGTGTTCAGCATGTTTAGAGAATCAGTCCTTAACTTATTCCTACAGGAATTTAGTTCCATTATTACAACAGGTTTACTGTAGGAATATCTGGCTTTATCAGGTTTTATCAGATGGATACTGACACCTATCATGAGAACTTTGTGGTAGACTTCTCTTTTGACTTCTTCTTCTAGAATGTATAAATGTATTTTTGCACATGAATTCTTTTTTAATAATAATTCACTAAAAATATTTTCTATTAAACCCATATTGTAATGAAACCTAGTAACAATTAGCAAAAGTTAGTTTTGCCACATGATTAAAGCATGAGTTATGAAAGGTAAAAGTACATAATTATGATTTACATATAAGCTGAGGTGATGGATCAAAATTATACAAGGACACACAAGAAATGCATAATGGTAAAATCTGGACAGTTTAATAAATGAGAGTAATTTGCAAGGCCAAGACTGAATTGGGTCTCTTAATTTTTTAATGTTGTTTTTTACATTTGTGCGGGAAAAGTAGTATTGCCTCTTAAATATCAAGTGTTTGTCCTTTTTTTAATTGTCATATTAAAACCAAAATGTAGTAATATACAAGACATCTCCCAGTAAATAATGTTCTAAGGAGTTATGTGCAGCAGGTTCTGGCAGAAGCTGCTGGGAATCTGGTGCAGAGGCTTGTACTGCTAGTGCTAGTCATTTGTATCAGTGAAGTAATTATCCTGTCAAGTTCCCAAGCAGAGAAGCACAAGGTACTAAAATAAAAGGAACAGCAATAAAGTGAGTATGTTTTTCCTATGGAAATACTCAGATTACAAGTGGGAAATGTATTTGTTTATTTTTTTTAGCTATAACAGTCAAATGTAGTTCTGTTCTGGACTTTACGTCTGTGAGCCTGATTTGCTTTTAAAGATACGGACTCAGACAAGATCAAGACTCTGATTACAAGAATTGCTGCTGAATTGAGACCCAGAGAAAGTGATTAAGGCTATTAGTGGAGTGTGGCAAGGACACGATATTATTTTAAGAGGCAGCTGTCAGTACTGGATAGCTTTAAAGGACTGCTAAGGTGCTGTAAAAAAGTGTGTTAATTATACACAAAGGTCATTTAGGGATTGAGGCTTCTTAGAGAGAGCTGTTGATACTTCTTTTGCTTCAAGTGAACAGGCACAGTAAGGAATCTGTGAAGGATTGAAACTGGTACTGTGTTCTGTAGAGCTGAAAAGAGAGATGGTAGAAGGAATAGATGAAAGACACAAGAAAGGATGATGATGATGATGATTTACTATTATTACTATTACTATTACTATTATTATTATTATCTCCAAGATTTCTTGAAATCTTACTTGTTCACAGTGATGCCATCTCCAAGATATTAAAAAGAAGCTTGTAACTTAAAAAAACCATTTCTTGTATGTTTTATAATCCTTATATTTTCTCTGGTACAGAGGCCTGCAGGAAGATGATTGTTCTGCATTTACTGCAAGATTGTTTGTATTAAGTTGGCCTGTGCATTCACTGTCATTTACTGTCAGTATTTTGGCAAAATAGCTTTTCTTCCTGTGGGAAATACCAGGGGCATACTAGTTGAAGTTGTTAAAGACCATCAAGCTTTTACTGACATGAGTGCTTTCCCTCAGTAATTCCAATGAGTAAGTCCTTTAGGAGACAGTCATGTGAATCCAATAACTTAGCCCAGCAAATCAGGCTAGAGGAAAGGCAGGGTACCCACCCACTGGACTTCAACCTGTTACTAAAAGCACAACCTGACAATTATTGTCTATTAAGACTTTTTTGGGTTTAAACATAGGCAGAAATAAGCCTGAATGTAGCTGCAAAACACTTGGCTGAATCCTCAAATGCTTTAGTCTTGCAAGTTTCATAACTGTTTATGTAGGATTTTTTTGGCAGACTATTAAGAAAAAAATAAGTGACCTTAGAGAGCTGGTAATTAGTTGTAAACCACGTGATCTGAAGTGTTTTGCTTCCTGAATTGTTAATGTATGTGCCGCCATCTGTCTATCCGTATGTGTATTCTTTCCTTTCTTTCCATTCCCCGCACACAACAGATGCTATAAACCAAGGCAACAGAAAAAGACAGCACTTGTGCAGGTTATATTCCTGAATCATTTTACAAAAACTTTTTCAGCTGATGTTTTAGTCCTATTGAACATAAAACTTCCTTGAATTTTCTAAATATTATAAACTACTAGTGAAGCTCCTTAATTGTTAGAGATGATGGGAATACTAATAAACGTGATTTTACTGAATTTGTACTGCAAAATAATGCTTCTGAAAAAGTTCTGGAGGAGAGGGTCCTAGTGTGTTCTTGTGCTTTTCAGGTTACTGGTGCTACTGGAGGTCTGCAACAGGGAAAGCTAGTAAGATAATGTGGTGTGCAAAAGGTTTCAGTTTCACTGTAGGTTTTGCTTCCAATTTTAGATGATGTTGCAAGTACAGAAATCTTTACCTGTTGCCAGTTTATGCCTGCTTTCTACTTGCTTCTAGATACAGAAGACTGGAGAATATGTGGATGTTTCCATTTCTTTTTAATTCTTAGCCTTTAACTTAAAGAGAAAGATACAGATATGCACGCATCTTTTTTTAGTAGATTCTATTTAAAATTATGCCTGAAGTTTATGTATGTTTTGAGGTATAAAAATCTGAGAATCAAGGTCCTGAGTCTGAATATGTATACCCTACTGAAAATACAATTTTCTTTGTTGTGATGTCTTAAAATTGTTTGATGTATCTTGCTTTTACTTTTAGGTCACAATGAATACTATACGGATGATGCCTGCATGCTACAGTTACTGAAGGGCCTCTGCCTGAAGCACTTGGGAAGACTCATGCAAGCTGAACTGTGTTTCAGTAAAGTAATTCAAAGGTAAAAATAACATAAACAGACTTTTAACCTTTATGTTTTGTAGCTTTGGGTGAAATTTCTGATACTCCTGTAGCAGGTGTCTTGTTATAATTTTAAATAATTAAACTTCAGTATCTTTTTAAGGATTTGGAATTAAAACACCCCTGAAAATAGCTGGAGAACCACAAAACTTTGCTAGTATTTTTCTATTGCAGTTTAACAATATAGTTTTATGTGTGAGATACTTTAAACCAAATAAATCAAACTGATGGGTAACACATTTCTCTACATACGTTTGAGATTAATATTTTTGTATTTGCAAAATTATCAATATAATTAAAGATAATTTCTATGTATTTCCTGTTGGTTTTTTTTTCCCAGAATTTAGTACTTCACTGGTGAATGCTTCTCTGTGTAAATGATAAATTGTTGTTGTTGCTTGTTTTGGTTGAAAACTTCTGTTTCCTGTGTTATAGATTTAACAAATACCTTAGTTTTGGCAGATCCATATCTACTGTACTAACTTGTCCTTATATAACATTGAGTGATGCACTGGTTGCAGTTGTAAAGTTTTTAGACTTTTTAGAGTAGTTAGGCTGAGAAAGCAATTTTTACACACACAATTTTTCTAATAAATAATTTAGGAAAATTACAATTAAGGTGAGTTTGTTATGTGTGATTCTACTGCTTGTTACAGTTTTCTTGCCATTGCACCTTCTTTTGCTTGTTTCTAAGATCCCAAGTGAGATTTTAGTGAAGGACCTTGCAAGTTACAGGGCAGTGGGTTGATTGTTTGCAAGCTAAAGGCATGCTGTCTCTGAAAATCTTGCTAGAGAGGTGATTGACCCAGTGGAGACTTCTAGAGCTGAGACTTCTCAAAAACCTTCAGACAATGCTTCTTCATAAACAGAGTGTTTTGCATGGGGAGCAGGAGAGATTTTCTGCAAAATTAAATATCTGCAGACTGGTCAGCTTTACTCTCTACATTTCTTGGGCTACTATAGTACTTTAAGACTGTTTATCACATAAGCAGACTCTTTGCTTTAAGATACACTTTGTTTGCCTCAAGGTTTGTCTTGGTGGATGAGGTAACTCTTTCATTCTGCAATATTGATGTTATTCTATTTAGATAAGAATCAAAGAGTTGATTGTAAAAGACAACAGGAAAGGCCGAGATACGTGATGCTTTCTTCAGCTTCTTCTGTAGTGGCTGACCCTTGATGGAGGAGGATCAGGTTGAGGAAGAGCATCAACAGACTAGACATACCTATGTCCAGGCCAAATGGACATATCTAAAACCAGTCAGTCTCAACTCAGTGCCCAGCTAGATCCTCCTGAAGGCTCTGCTAGGGGACATGGAAAACAAGGAGTTAGTTGGTGGCAACCAACATGGCTTCACCAAGGGCAAATCCTGCCTGACAAATTTAGTGGCCTTTTAGGATGGAGTTACAGCATCGGTGGAAAAGGGAAGAGCATCTGATGTCATCTTCCCGGACATGTACAAAACATTTAACACTGTTTCATGTGACATCCTGGTCTCTAAATTGGAAGGGCATGGATTTGATGGATGGACCACTCAGTAGATAAGGAATTCACTAGATGGCCACTCTTCAAGAGTTGTGATCAACAGTTCAAAGTCCAAATGGAAATCTGTGAAGAGCGATGTTCCTCAAGGATTTGGTACTGGAGTTGAAACTGGATAGTCTTTTAAGATCCCTTCCAACCCAAACCATCCTATGATTTGGTGACATAGAGCTTTGGCATATACCTGTGAGTGCTGAAGTAGCTGGCCAATGACATTTTGATAGTTCATTGTCTTTGGAATGTCATGTCCAATTAGAACAGGTTCCTGAGGACCAGAGGAAACAAATGTCTTCAAGAGGGACAACATTAAGGATCTGGAAAACTTCAGCTTCTCATTAGTCCCTAGGAAGGTGGTGTGGATAATTCTGTCAACCATTTCCAAAAGCATGAAGGTGATCAGGAGTACTCAGTGTGAATTTATGAAAGAAAAATTATGCTTAAGGATCCTTATAGTCTTTAGGGAGGTGACTGCCTTAGTAGATGGGGGACAGCACTGCATGCTCTTTATCTTGAGTTTAGAATGGTTTTTGACACTGTCTCCTGTAATACTATCACAGACAAACTGATTTAGTGTCAACTAGATAAGTGGGTAGTGCGGTGGATTGAAAACTAGCTAAATGGTTGGGTTCAGAAGGCTGTGATCAGCAGCATGAAGTCAGCTGCAGGCCAGTCACCGGTAGAATAATGAACAGTTCAATGCTGGTGCCGCTAGTTTTTAACATCTTCATTAAGGACCTGGATGATGGGACAGAATACAACTTCAGCAAACGTGCAGCTCCTACAAAGTGGGAGGAGTGGTTTGATAAGTGTGATGGGTGTGCTGCCACTCATTGCAACCAGGACAGGCTGGAGAAACGGGTTGGTAGGAATCTCGTGAAGTTCACTAAAGAGAAGTGCCAATGCCTACCCTGGGGAGGAATGTCGGCGTATGTGAGCGCAGGCTACAGGCTGACTGGCTGGAGACCAGTTTGACATAAAATGCATTGGGGATCCTGGGCACCACAGTCAATCCCAAGCTGACCATGAACCAGCGGTGTGCCTTTGCAACAGAAACAGCCAACAGTGTCCTGGGTTGCATTAGGAAGAGTATCGTGGGCAAGTTGAGAGTGGTGATCCTTCCTCCCCTCTCAGTGCTAGGACTCATGGTATAAGAGACACATGGACATGCTGGAACAAATCTAACAAAAGATGATTAAAGTATTGAAGCATCTGTCATATAAGAAGAAGCCAAGAGAGTAGAGAGTGTTCAGCCTGGAGGAGACCTGAAAGGGTTACCTGAAGGGAGTGTAGGGGAGGAGAAGGGTGAGAATAGAAAGGAACAGAGGGAGAGAGAGAAAAATTCTTCTCAGTGGTCCTGTGTGGCAGAACACAAGGTAATGGATGCAGACTGAAGTGTGGAAAATACTGTTTAAACAGAAGGATTTTTTTTTTTAATTATCAATTTGGTCAAACACTGGTACAGGTTGTCTGGAGAGACTGTGGAATCTCCATCCTTGGAGATAACCTGAAACCTAGGTGGACACAGTTCTGGAGTGGTTGCTGCTGTTGACCTTCCTCTGAGGAAGGGTTTTGACCCAATGTTCTCCAGAGGTGCATTCTAGCCACAGTGATTCTGAGAATTTCTTGTATTGAGGAAAAGCTGAATTTTTTTACTTCTCTGACTTACTCAGACAAGCTAGGGTAAGGGGATCTTGATTCTGAGTGTGGGAAGAAGTATTTCTCTTACACTGCCTAACCTAGTGAACATTATATCAATTTATTTTTTGGGGTGAGGTTTTTTTTGGTTTTGAACTTATATCACATAGTAGAGTCCCAGTCTTAGAATTGTGTTCGTGGTACCTTGCATAACATACTACAATACAAATACGAAGCAGGGAAGAATAAATTTTTGCTCCTAGAAGGTCATGCTGGCAGTATTTTATGTCCATTCTTTACAGATACATTTAATGTGCACAGAGTTACCTAGTAAAAAAATATTCTAAAATATTTTCTCTGGCTGTGTGCTTTTACAAACAATGATTACATTTAAAAGTTAACTAGTCACTCGAGGAAAGGTTACAATTAACCACTTCTGTATTTTTTCTGGTTTTCTAGTGAGAAGCAAATAAAATATGATAATTATCTGGTGCCCTTCACCCTGTATGAGTTGGGTCTTCTGTACAAACAACAGGATGAGAAAGAAAAAGCAATAAGATACATAGAAACTGCAAAGTAAGTGAAGCTTTTTTAATTTGTATCAGCCTATAGATGAAGAATAACTGAGTAATTTTAGCAATGAAAGCATGTTGCGTTTTCATCCTGCCAGCCCCTTTTCAGATACAAATAATTTAAAATCTGTGTTCTTGACTTGGAAAAGCTGTCCAATACAGGTGAATTTTACAGTTTCAAGAAACTCTGTCCTTCAGACACAGTGGAGTAGACAGTATCAGACAAGACACAGTATGAAGGGAAAATGTCCCTTTTTCATGTAGGCTTCAGAGATGCTGAGGCTCTGCTTCAGGCATGGGATGGAGCTGAACAGTCTGGAGAAAGTGTCTGTACCGCCTCTGTCCCAGAGAGCAGCTCTGGGGCTTACATCTGCTGCACTAAAGGTGTTAGTGGGAGTGTATTAAAAGCCAGCACACTTCTGACCCCCTCCCTTTTTCCTTTCACATCCTATCACAGAAGAGAGCTAAATTGACTGTAGAGCAGCACATCTGCTTCATCTGTAGATTGTAGTATGGGGTAGAATTTTCCCCTTCTGTGTACGGAGAAGTATACCAATCATGCAATAGCATAAATGTGAGTTAGAAACAATCTCCTAAAGCCTTTTACAGAAATAACAGTCATCTTTGGGTTTTTGTTTGTTTGGATTAAGTAATATAATTTAGCTGTGTTTTATTACTCTGGCTGAGTTGTGTTTTGAAGGTGAACATATACTTTCAGTTAACAGTCTTTCTTTTCTGTAGTCTTCTAGTCATCTTTTGACAGCAAACTTCAGTAATTGGGAAGGCTGTTAAGAGATGCTAAAACATAGATTCAGCTTATCAGGACATTTAATTGTTAGTACTGGTATAAGTCTGTGCAGTTTGAGGATGTAGCTTTGCATGTCCTGTAACTTACCTGTGCATCAGTCTCTGTTTCCTGTTGAAGGAATGAAGGCTCTTAACCAGGCCAAAAATATTTTTCTTAAAATAACTTTATTATTTGCAGAAACAACTACAAAGAATACTCTATGGAGTCCAGGTTGCACTTCAGAATTCATGCAGCACTTGACAGCTTGAAGGTGTCATCTGCTTCAACACCTTGAATGAGGAGGGAGTACTTCTCATGCATACAATAGCCTATACAATGTTTCTGCATTCTTTTTTTTAATCATTGAAAAGAAACAACCTACTGATTGTTTTCTGTCATCTCCGATTTGACATATGTCTTTCTTTTCTTCTTTTCTGTACGGCACATAAAGTATATCGACTTGATATTTTAAGGAAGACCTTATATTTTGTTTGATAAAAATAATTTAATATTTTACTTGAATGGGGGATATTTAAAAAAAAATTAATGGTGCAATAATGTTTAATGCAAACACTTTATTTTTTTATATGAAAACAGATGCTCATTATGTAGTGGAACTGGTGATAACTTCTGCATTTTTTGAAGGTTTGGTTTTCTGCAGTACACTTGAGACCTTTTTTGCCTCTGGAACAAAAATGTAATGTCTGCAGATAACCTCATCCACATTTGGCGTACCATATTCTGAAGTTTGTGTTCCAGAGGAAAAAAAATCATCATTTTTGACTTAATTTCATTTTGGGAACAAAATGAAGCTGTCTGAAGTGCAATATTTTTACACTGTCAGATAAAGTTAAGCAGGGCTACAGGTATCGTGTCTTTGCAGATCAGTTTCACTCAGAATAAGTGGTTATAGGGGATACTTTTCAGTTGTAGAAAAGGAGGGCTACTAGGGACATTAAGAGATCATGTACTCTGTGTTCTTGCCCCAAAAGCAGAATCAACAGTCTTACCTTGTTCCTGACAGACTTGTTTAACCTGTTTTTTGAAAAAAAATTTACACCAAGAGAGATTTTGTAACTTACACAGGATGTCTTTCCCAAGCCTGAGAAAATGTTCCTGATGTCTACCCGAAGTAATTACTGGCACAACTGAAACTGCTTGCTTCCCTTCTCTGTCGTGGATCTAAAGAAAAGATTGTTCTTTTCGTCTTTTGAAGCAATCTTTTAATATTTGAAGACTAACCCCCTTGTTAGTATTCTCCCTTCGTGGATTCCAACCAAAAATAAATAAAAAATTACAGAATTAATTAATTTATTTTCTTAATAATGGGAGTAATTCATATTAATGCAGGTTTATTGTGCATCAAAAAGTAAATTCTCTTTTAAACTTGGAAATAAGAAAATGTGCATATTCTAATCACAACTTTCTACTTTCTACCAAAAAATATGTAGTAAAATTGAAATACATTTGTAAGTGCATCTGTCTTTCTTTTCGCTCTAATATGTGAACAACAGTATCAAATTGAGTTTCCCAGTTTAATTAAACATGCAGATTCTGCTAGCTGTCTGTTCCTAAAAATAAGAATATACTTGATCTTTATTTACGTATACAACAACTTTTAAAATAACAATTTTACAATAACCAATAACAATTAATTTTTTCACTAATTATTGCAAAACTTGCCTATTTCCGTATTTTATTACAAAATTATTGAGGCTGGAAAAGACCTGAGATCGTCAAGCCTAGCCTGTGACCAAACAGCACCACATCAGCTAGACCATGGCACTGAGTGCCACATCCAGCCTCTCCTTAAACACCTCCAGGGATGGTGACTCCACCACTTCCCTGGGCAGTGCATTCCAGTGCCTGATCACCCTCTCCATGAGGAAATGCTTCCTGAGATCCCACCTAAACCTCCCCTGATGCAGTTTCAGGCCGTGCCCTCTCATCCTGTCACTAGTTGCCTGGGAGAAGAGCCTGATCCCCATCTGACTACACCCTCCCTTCAGGCAGTTGTAGAGAGTGATGAGGTCCCCCCTGAGTCTCCTCCATGCTAAACACCCCCAGCTCCCTCAGCCTCTCCACATAAGACTTTCCCTCTAGTCCCTTCACTAATGCCAGAAATTTAATTCTGTACGCTAAATTCATAGTAACTATGCTCCTGTATGTAATTCTCTGCCCTTAATGCCCACCCAAGAAATCAAAGAACAAAAGAAACAGGGAAGGAAATATGTCTTCAGTAAATGAGTAACTGAAAGGTTCTGATTAAAGTCAATATGATATAAATGCTATAGTTATTCTTCTTGGGTGACTGAGACCACAGCTTTCTTCTACGACACTATAAATGAATCATTTATTTGCATATAAATCTGTAATACAGTGGCATACTTAGAGGTGAAGTAAGAGTTTAAAAATATTACCTAAATAAACATAATGGGTCTTTCAAAGTGGAAACCTGATCCAAAGTCTTTTGTCTTCACCAGTTTGTATTTGTGCCTATTGTAAATGCATAACTAAATTATTGTGTAAAATTATGCACCTGTAGGCTTGAAGCTTAGGTACCTGAGATGCTGAATTCCTGATAAAATGAAGCATGCTTATTTTAAAATATATTCTATTGACTGTAGCTAGTGTAGTGAAGATGTTTGTCTCTTTGTCAGCAGAGATTAGCATATGCTACCAGCTGACTACTCTAATTACTTGCCCATTTTTGCATATCTGACTATAAGATGTAGGCAGCAAAAACAATATATTGTACATTATATTGTCAGAACAAACTTCTAATACCTCTTTGGGTATTTAAATGTTCAGTTCAGGATTATTTTGGTTTAATCTGTTTGTTGGATTGTAACATTCACATGGGACCATTTGATTTTTCTCATGAAAGGTAGTGAAAACAATTGCCAGTAAAACTTCTATAATTTGTTTTTCAAATAATAATTCATTCTACCAAAGAGTTAGAACTGGGACTACAGACTCTTAGGATGGAGCATGAAGTAGTCTCTGGTCTTTTAGTTTTGTGCAGTGTCTTACAGTTAGCATTTTATAGGTGATTTGAAATAGAAATCAAAATTAATGAAAAGTAAACAATGAGCTTCTGTAGAAGCTGATTTTTAAAAATTTTAGTGCAAAGTGTCATGTAGCAGTGTACTCTTTTCACTGGTAATGATACTGACTGTAGAGAAGGTAAGAGAACTTTTTCTTCAGTTCAGCCTTCCAAAGTCAATATTAACACCCTTTGTATGTTGCACTTGGTCTCTTTTGGGATCATCCTTTTTGCATTCATGCAAAGAACAGGCATATTAATGCAAATTTGCAATATCTTCTGGAGTATTTTGATGCTTATGTCCCCAGTGTAAGTACTATATACAGCTTGTCTCCTTTTCTGTGCTGCTGTTCCAAACTTATTTGTTAGAAAGCCTGATTGATCACAATTCCTAGCTTTATTCTGATATTTTTTCCCCCAGTTTATTAACAGTGGAAATGTATATGTGTCAGAATGATTTGTAACCCTTCACGTAGTGTAGGTCTCAATAGAACTGTAGAGATGTTTAGTCTTCCAAACTGCAGAAGAAGCATGTCTTCCACAATCTGTTATTGATCCGGTATTGTGTAAGTAGATTATGTCTACATTAAGTTCAGATTAAAAGTCTGTGACTTTTTTTTTTTTTAACCTGCTGTATGCTGTACTGGGCCTTAAATACAACTGTGATTTAGTCTTACTGCTTGACCTCGCTTGTGTCTCATGGGAATTTTGAGTAAAATACTGAAACTTTGAAACTTACCATTTATCTATGATGCTGCAACCTCCATTGATAATAGTAGGAACTATAATATGTATATATATAAGCTAAGTCCTTAGTTTAAGCAAGCAAAGCTAAACTTACATAGCCATGTTATGACAAAAGGTTGTTCTGATCTTTCTGATAATAGATGTATATTTTTTAAGGTGATGAATAATAAATTAGTTTGGTTATAAGACAAAGTTTGTATTTAATTAAGAATTGTCTACTTAGAAAATATTACTAAAAACTTCTTGTCTGTGCATATCATTCCAATGTTAAGTCTGTTGGTGGAAGATTGTTGTATAATGGTTTTAAAGTCCTAGCTCACCACTCTTAACAAAAGTGGAAAGAAAATACATGTTAAAAAAAAGCTGATTGAAGATTGCTTTTTATCTGTTCTAATACACATGGGTAGCAGCTATGTTTAGCACTTTATAGCCAGAAAAATGTAGACTAATCGGATCCTGTTATCCATCTAAAACACCTTGCCAGCTAATGTATAAAAGTAACATCTTGTAACAAATCCAAGTTAGACTTTGCAAGTATTTTATTACTAATCTTAAGGTTTAATGTCCTTTTTTTTCTGTATATTCTTATACTGCATAGTTCAACAAAGAATGTATCTATTTGCACTCGTGGTGCAGTTTGTTTGCTTTTAAACTGTTGAAGTTTGCACATATTCATATTTGGTACTTGAGTAAAATCAAAGACAATAATGGAGGATGAGGGATGATGAAGTGCATGCTAGTTTTAGGAGCATGTAGAAGTGTTCCTTGTGATGTGTTGGAATAGATTGTCACTTCAGAGGTATAAGTCACATTTTATGCTTGTGCTACCAAGTGCTGAATTCTAGTATTCTAGTTGTGCATAAAGAACCTTCAGCTGTGAGTTATAAAAACAATATCAATGAAAAGGCCTGATCTCAAGTTTAAACACACTATCTTGGGCATATAGTTCTTCTTACGTAACCTGTCTAGCCTGAGAAGTTGTACAAAGCTATCACGGAGAGAGTAAAGTGTCTCTTAAGATGTATATAACAAATACAAATTAGTCTTAATTTCTCACCAGAGATCAAGTAACACTTTAAATGCTATAAAATACTGGGGTGATGAACAATTAACTCATTATGTTACCAGTTATGCCATTAAATTGGATGGTAACAAGATATCATATAAGAGTCTTTTAAAGCACCAACATTAAAAACAGGGAGGAAATGATCTGATGTGTGCAGGTCTTAGTTTTAGTTAAATTTAGAACAGTAAATGTTCAAAGTTATTCTTCAGTGTGTCACTCTTAAATGCTTCCATAGCTTTTAACTGTTTCCCAGCAAAGAGGTCAACTTAACTACCATAGTTTGAATGTTAAGAATGGTGATTTAGGTTATCATAGGAATAGATACAGTAGATGAATCACAGAAAGGAAAAAGAATGGCGATCCTCTTGTAAACTTGTTGCTGTCTGTTAAACATTAGTTTACTTTCAGTAATTATCATACCATAGTCCAGAATACA